TAGAGTTGAATTCTTTGTGTCTCTCTGGGAAGATGTTCTGCTCCTGAATCAGCTGGGTGGGTCTTGCCTCTAGCCTCTTTGCAGGGAGTTCTGCTGAAGAGTTCCCTGCTGGGCCTGCAGCCTGGGTCAAATGAGGATCCCTGGCCCTGGGTCGTCTCACTCACTTGCAGGGCCTGCGCTCTGGGTCTGTTCAGGATCCCATGGCCCTGGGTCATCTCACTCACTCGCTGGGCCTGCGCTCTGGGTCTATTCAGGATCCCGCGGCCCTGGGTTGTCTCACTCACTCCCTGGGCCTGCACTCTGGGTCTATTCAGGATCCCGCAGCCCTGGGTTGTCTCACTCACTCCCAGGCCTGCGCTCTGGGTCTATTCAGGATCCTGCGGCCCCGGGTCATCTCAATTAACTCGCCAGGCCTGCGATCTGGATCTGTTCAGGATCCTGCAGCCTGGGTCGTCTCACTCACTCGCCGGGCCTGCGCTCTGGGTCTGTTCAGGATCCTGCGGCCTCGGTCGTCTCACTCACTTCTCTGGCCTGTGCTCTTCCAGATCCTTCTTGCCTCGAGCAAGGAAGTTACTGGAGGCTTCAGTCCATACTCAGCTGGGTCCAACGCAGAGCAGCACACAGCAGAAAGCCTCCATCTCCTTCTGTAAGTGCCAGAAAGGAGTAGTAGCTGCGTCCCTCTGGAAACTGCCATAGCTGGGAATGCTTTTTCCATTTGGAGTGTGATTTCTCCCAAAGCACATTCAGGGTGGGGATGCCGGAGCTCCAGGTGACACGTGGCTGTGACATGGAAAAAGGCGGTGGGTGAGCAGTAGAGACCAGAGCCAGAAGGCAGCAGAGATGGACAGCCAGCAATAGGGAGAGCAGCAGACACAACGTCTTTGCTCACACACAGCAGAGTCCTGGGGAGACCTGGGCGGCCGCTGAGTGGTCAGGGGCTCTTGCGTCTGTGCTGGGTGTTGAAGGGTTAATGTAAATGCTTCAGGCTACTTAACATCAGCACCTTTGCACGAAGGACCTGGAGCTGCATTTTGTTCTCAATACATCTCAACACTGTCAATGACTAGACATGGTGCTGAGTCAGCATTAAATCTTTTTTTTTTTTTTTTAATTATATTTTTTAAAGAGCATTCCAGTGTTAAGAGGATTGCTTTGTTTCTCAATATTTAGTAAAAGACCTATAAAATTAAAAGAAACCCAGGGAGGGAAAATAGAGGAAATTTGCTCAGTCACTTAGAAAGGAGTTCTCTGTCCCATCATTGGTGGAGATGTAGTGCGGAATAGGCTATGCAGAGTATATTTATCTTACAAAGAAAGGCTTTCTCTTTGCCTTTGCTTTCTGAGAATGCACTGCTGAATTAAAGCAATGTGCACATTTGTTAAATAGAATGGGGAGGAATGCTAAGGGGTTTGGGGTCATTTCTTACTGTCTGTGTCTAATGAAAAACGTGAACCAGACTTGCTGTGCATGGTGACGAAGCCCTTCATTAGGAGGAAGCAGCACCTATGTTCCCTCGTGCATGGGTGTCTGGAACGGGACTCTTACTGTGCTCCCCACGGGGCGGGCTGTGTAGCTCCCCGCAGCCGCCACTGCCTTGTGTTGCATCCCCCCCAACACACATACCTGTGTGCACTCAAGGCACACACATCGCACAGACCCCACCCACCTGTGTGGGCACACACACACGCACGCACATTCATGTGCGCTCATGCACACATCCACATCCACATCCACAAAGCTGTGCACGCTCACACCCATGGGCTTGCACCATCCGCATGCTGGCACCGTGGATACGGACACACACGCCATGTACCTCTGTTCCCCAGCACACCTGCTCCTAAGTGCTCACGCGTGTTCACAGTCCCAGTGGCAACCACATGCGAGTGTCTGCCGTGACAGAGCGCGCAGCTGCTTAACTCTTGTGCTGCTTTTCCAACCCCACAGCTGACCGCTCAGGGATGTTGTTCACAGGCGACGCCGTTCTACAGGTCAGTTCTTCTGACTCCCAGGTTCTGCTTCGCTGCCTTTTATTTTAAACTTATCTTATTTGATTACTATCCTCACCATTCTTCATCTTCTGCCTCTTCAGGTTAATGGCATTCACGTAGAACACGCAACCCATGAAGAGGTGGTGAGTGTCTTGCATTTGAGTTTCTGTTCCCGTCAGATAGCCTTTCATTCTCCTTATTTTCCCCTGTGCATTGACACTGACTTCATGTCCTCCGAATCTTGGTGCTAGAGAAGCGAGCATGGGAGGCCTGGCAAGCCGTGCTGCAGAGACCTCTCGTGTGCCTGCCGTGTGGCCCTGTGCAAGACAGGGCTGCCCAGTCTGACCACACACCTGGGGCAGGCACACTCATCACTCCACTTTGCATTTTGGGGGGAGTGAAGTGCAGGATCACTTGAGTCACCCATGTCCCCATGGAGTCACTGAGGGCCACACAGAGAACTCCCAGCATCCTCCCAGGGCTTCCTAGTACCACCAGCTCTCACTTGCTCGCTTGCATAGAGATTCACTGGGGGAACACCCTGGATCCCACTGGCCTGTGAACACATACTACACTCATGGGGCTGTCATCTGGGAGGACCAGTAGTTCTGGATTTCTCCCAAGCCTCTGCCCAGTGTCATGTCAGGCTCCACAGGGGCAGAGATGGTTTGTTTTGTTGGTATATGGCCCCTGTCTCTCCGCCCAGCCTGGTCCTCAGGGCTTGCAGCATTCTGGGGTAAATCTGTGTTGCCCTTATGGAGCAGGGGGGTGGCTGGAGGAATTTGTTTTACTTGTGCTCCTGGTCCTCTGTGCTGATTAAGTGCTGTCTGTCCTGAGGGCAGGTGCATCTCCTGAGAAATGCAGGGGATGAGGTCACCATCACCGTGGAGTACCTCAGGGAGGCACCGTCATTTCTGAAGCTCCCGCTAGGTAAGCAGAGGGGCACGATGGGAGGGTGCTAGGCATGTGTTGGCAGATACCTTCCTGAGATGCTTTTAGAGGCTGTTCCTGTGACCCAGTGAGTCTCTATTTCTTCTGTCCCAATGTAGACACACACACACACACACACACACACACACACACACACACACACGCACCCATGTGTGCAGGTGGATTGCACTCAAAAGCCCCAGGTTGACCCAAGAGATACCCAGCACCAGAGATCAAAAGGACAGTGAAGTAAAGCTGAGGGGCATCCCCTGTAACCAGGGTGAGCTGCAGTCTGTGTCATCCTGGGTGGGTCTGGTGTGACATGCAAAACCCCAGTCTGGAGACTGCTTGGTGGGCACAGTCCTGAGACCTCACTCTGCCCCTTGCTTTCCTGCTTTTGAGAAGGCAGCCCAGTCAGCACCCTCCCATAAGGGCAGCGGTGTGGCCCTGTCCCCAGTGGGTGCTGACTTGGACCCTGGGTCCTGAAGATATGGCACTAGGCTGATGGTCAGTGACCCTGTCCTTCTTCTACACCACCCCTTCTCTCATCAGAGTACTGCTCCTTTCCTCTCTCATCTCAGTGTCCCCTTTTGTGACCTCTCCTTCCTCACCTGCTCCATGCTGGATAGAACCATCCAGAGACTCTAGTCCTCCCTCATCGCCATCATCCCATTTGTGTTGAGTGAGGCACCTTCAGGACACCATGAAGGACAAGTGCTGTCCCTCCTGCAGCTGTGAATACATAGCTGAGATTATAGCTGCTTGTGAGAACCAGGCCTCAACATCAGAGCAAGAGGGTCCCCAGGGGGCTTGAGGGGCAGGACAAGGGCCCTGTGGGCAGAGTGTGCGGATAGACACTACATAGCATGGGGTGGAGTAGGAAATGTCAGAGATGGCTCAGACCACAGGGCATGGAGACTGGAGCGGATTCTGGGATCTGGGAGCAGTGAGTAGATGGCACAAAGCCACTGGGACATGCTCAGGAGCCACCAGGGAGCTGCACCTTGTGGGACTAACATGACTGGGACATGGTTTCTTGTGCATCCGATGGGCTGAGTCGGACACAGCAGGCAATGTGTGCTTCAGTTTTCGGTGGGTGCAGTCAACCATGTAGGCCAGAAGAGGAAACCAAGGTGTTCTAGAGATCTGAGAGAGACAGATGGAGATGGAGACAGAGACGGAGACAGAGACAGACTGATGGACTGTGAATAGGCTGAAAGGAAGGAGAGAAGATTAGGAGAGAACAAGCAATCACGAGGCTAACTCCAGCCCCTTGCCGCCTGCAGGCCCCGAGAGCACCAGAGCTCTGCCCGGGTAGGAGCTGTCTGGAGTTGGGGGTCCTGCAGTGAGGTAGGATGAGGATTTGAGTGCAAGGGGATGTGGGGAGAAGCCGAGGCCATCACCTGGGGCCTGGGGACAGGCTGGTGCTGAAGAGGGAGCAGTGTACACTTCTTTTCTGTCTCAGGAGGACTGCCTGGGAGGAAGGGGCTGCGAGCTCGACTGTGTCCACCTCCTGGGGAAAGCCCAGGGAAGCTCATCCGTGGAGGACAGGTTCCTTCCGGCTCATGGTTCAGAGATGACACAGGGACCTGGAACACTGCTGAGCATGGCAGGACTGGGGTGCCTCTGGGGACGTGGCCAGATAGGCCAGGACAGTGGAAACTTCTCCTGTGGGGTGTTGGCCCCATCCTGCCACTTCCTGGCTTTGAGGTCTGTACTCAACAGCAGGCTGTGGTGACTCCCAGGTCTCTTTATGAGTGTATCCCTGTGGCAGGTCATGTAGAGCAGGTTCAACTCACGCATGTATCTGGCATCTCCTGGAAGCCCCATCTGTGCACGGAGCCCTGGCTGACCATGCCCGTGTATGCCCAGGTGTCTGTGTGCTGGGCAGCAGTGGGGATGGCAGACTGTGGTCACTTGCACTGAGCTGCTGTACCTTCACTGTGGTCAGGGATTCCCTGGGGCAGAGGGAGATGGTGAGGTTTCCAGGACCCGGGATTGAGAGCACAACAGAAGCTCTTCTCCTCCTGTTATCGAGGCTCATGCCCTCTGAGTCAGCCAGGTCTGCTGGTCCTCAGGCAGGTGTGCAGTGCCCTGCAGGTCTACAGCAGTGAAGGTCCTAGGGTGCCACCACCACCAGGCAGCAGGAGGCCACGGAGCTCCTGCTGGTGCCCTGTGTGTGGAGCCCAGCTCACCGTGGCCATGTCTCCCTGGCAGCTCAGCTGTCAGCAGCGCTGCAGTCTCCCCTGGAAGCCAGGCCTACAGGATAAGGACAGCCAGCATGGCTGGAGAGCAGACCGGATGAGCTCGGCCTGTCTGGGTTCAGGGAATGATGCCTAGTCCTCCAGGTATTCAGTAAATGCCTCCTCTCCTTTTACACGGTTCTGTGTCACCTAAAAGTTTTACAATATTAGTATCTGTAAAAGTTTAAAGAGGCCAGGGAGATGGCTCAGTGGAATAAGCACTTCCCTGGCAAGTGCAAGGGCCTGAGTTCAATCCCTGGTTCTGCCAAAAAAGAAAGAAAGAAAGAAAGA